AAAAAAAAAAAAATCAACGTACTTAGTATGAAACACCCAAAAAAAATAATAATAAAAAAACTACAAATTATGAACACTCGCATCGCACTTCTCCCGCTCGGTAACTGTCTGATAGCTGTCGTCCTGTTGGACCACCGTGTACTTGGTAGGGTCACTGATAAGTCTCACAGTCCTAGTGTAAAACCAATCAATGTAACTCTCCTCGGCCTGTAAGAAGTGATCCACAAGGGCATCTTGTAGGACATTTTGTTCTCTTTCGTCGACTCATCCCTTGGTAAGCTGTGAATGAAAGGCGGCCCGATCACTTAATTCTCTCCCAGTCATTCGCTGGCCTCTGTGGTGTGTCTCCCATTATTGCTCACTACTAATCATCGGATTTGGGGGGATGGACTGCTGACACCCAAACTGACGGAGAAGCTTATTAGACAAGTGAACTTCACGTATGTTCCAACAGAAGATCCACCACTATACATCCAAATATGTTGATCTTCTGTGTACTCATCCGAGAGAGTACTATCCTCCAGGTACTGTTCATAGGGCACCCAATCGAACTGTAAAAAAAAAAATTGAATTAGAAATTAAGTTATAAAAAAAATTAAAAATGATGCTTGCATGGACAAATTATTCTTGAAATCATATTCTCCCAAAGCTCTTGACCTATATATTAAACGTGCTTCGCGTGACTTTGCCTTTTGGGCCCGTTCAGACTCGTCCAAGCTCGTAATTGAGTTCCGTTTCTTCCTATATGTCACCAGCGTATCCGTCTACACAACCATGATTGCTCGGTTAATTTTTGGGTTAAATCTTTTTCTCACGGGGCTAAATAATTAACAAATCACCCATTAACAAATCTTCCATGGGCCATCTATTTATATAATGGGTGATTTGATAATTATTTAGCCCGTGAAGAATAGAAGTAGCCCGAAAAATTGACCGGGCAACCATGGTTGTGTAGAAGGGTGCATTGGCGACATATAGGAAGAAGCGGAAATCAATTTCGAGCTTGGACGAGTCCGAACGGGCCCAAAATGTAACGTCGCTCGAAACACGTTTAATGTATTGGTCAAGAGCATTGGCAGAATATGATTTCAAGAATAATTTGGCCATCCAAGCATCATTGAATAGAGGGTTCGGAATTGAGTTCCATTTTTTCCTATACGTAGCTAACGAACTCCTCTATTCAATGATGCTTGCATGGCCAAAATTATTCTTGAAATCATATTCTTCCAAAGATCTTGACCAATACATTAAACGTGTTTCGCGCGACTTTACTTTTTGGGCCCGTTTGGACTCGTCCAAGCTCGAAATTGATTTCCGCTTCTTCTTATATGTCGCCAGCGTACCCGTCTACACAACCATAATTTTTTGGTCAATTTTCGGAGTAAATCTATTCCTCACGGGGCTAAATAATTAACAAATCAACCATTAACAAATCCTCCATGGGCCATCTATTTATATAATGTGTGATTTGTTAATTATTTAGATCGTGAGGAATAAAGTAGCCCAAAAATTAACCGGTCAATCATAATTGTATAGAAGGGTTTATTGGCGACATATAGGAAGAAGCGAAATCAATTTCGAGCTTTGACGAGTCCGAACGGGCGCAAAAAGTAAAGTCGCGCGAAACACGTTTAATATATTGGTCAAGAGCTTTGGGAGAATATGATTTCAAGAATAATTTGGTCATGCAAGCATTATTGAATAGAGGGGTTCGCTAGCTACGTATAGGAAAAAAACAGAACTCAATTCCGAGTTCAGACGAGCCCAAACGAGCCCGAAACACAAAATACATACTACATATTAATTTTTTTTTTCATTATTTTTAAAATATAAAAGTATTATCAAAACATGTTTTGTTTTTTAATTTTTTTTTTAAACGTATAATAGGAGTACGTTTTATACTGATTTTTCAATTGTTTATAATATTTTACAAATATAATTTTAAAATATATTACCGGAATGGAATACGTTTTGTTAAAAAAATTAAATTAAAAAAACGTACATGAGAATACGTGCTTTTTTTTTGTCTACAATTTTTTTTTCTTGTTATTTTTATCCAATTATTATTATTATTATTATTATTATTATTATTATTTTGTTTTTTTTATTTATATAAACTACCCAACTTATAACACTATAGTCCTAGGGTTCATTTCAACTTGAAAAGACAGGTAACAGAAAAAAGTCTCATATGGTATCTACTTTTATCTGGTATTACCAAAATCACTGCAGGTAAAGAAACATCACATTATTCAGCAGCTGAAAGTGGCAAAAGAAGGAACAAACAACAAGACATTCAACACCAAACAGCAACACCAATACCACAAAGAAGAGTAAATTCCGGGCGTAAAAGCACCCGAAGAGAAGCAAATTAAGGACAACGCAACACCGAACAGTAAAATCCTGCCGAAAAATCACATCACCAGCAGAATATTAGATAAAAAAGGCCAACCCAAAAACAAAAAAAAAAAAAAA